GAGAGAAGGAGAGAGAGAGAGAGAGAGAGAGAGAGAGAGAGAGAAGGAATGAGAGAGGAGAGAGAGAGAGGTATGATTTTAGGACTCATTGCCTGTCAAACTTGAGACACTAGAAGAACCAGAACAGGCTTGGGAGTAAATAGTGTGCTTTAACTGAGGGTGATTCTTGCCCATAGTTTATTGTCGTTTAAAAATAATCCTCATCTAAATAAAAATTTAAGATTGTTTATCCTTGTGTGATTTAAAAAAATGAAATTTATCTCTTCACCTGTAATGTTAACTTCAAAATATACATTTCTGTGGAGCCTTTTTAAGCTCTCTTTAATTGTAGTGCTTAGACTTTGGCCTGTACTTCTGGCTCTCTCTCTCTCTCTCTCTCTCTCTCTTTTTCTCTCTTTCATTTAATGGATGCTCAGTAAGTGGTTTTATGATAAAAAGATATACATGCTGTCTCCTATTTCATCTTTTTCTTTTATACTCTTATCATGGATTTCAATTAACTTACTACTTCTAAGACATCATGGTAGTGTATATAATATTACAAACATTATATATAGTTACTAATCATGTGTAACTATAAGATTTCACTGATAAATTAGAATTTGATTCATTTCCAGGGCTTCTTGGTTAATCCAATCTGTATTCAGGACACAACAGTAGCAATTACTTTGAGGCATAGGATTAAAGATTGTATGTCTCTAGTATCCAGCTGACATTCATTAAGGGATTAAATGAGTGAATGGTAATTCACACAAACTCTGTTTTTCCCTATGGTAAGTAAGTTACAACATTAGAGGAAGTGTTGGATTTATTTTACTTAGTTGTTCCTTGCCCTTCTATGTATAGATATCTTCCTTTATTTACATAATGTAGCTAGCACCTCCTTTTATTGCCATAAATAAAAATAAATATTATGGTTATTAAATAATAATATCTCTTTGTAGTTTCTCTCAAGTTTCCAAATATCTAAGTAGCAAGAAACAAAAAAGGGATGGGGTAGAATATGCTTGGGACTTAATAAACCTAGATGGACTAGTTGAGTATTACCCTGAAGATGGATGGTAGGTTTTTCTGGGCAGTCAGTGTGGGTAAAGAAAGTCCTTTTTGAATAAAGCATTAGAAATACTTTCAGGAACGAAAACCACAAGAAACACCACTGCTGTGGAACTAAACCACTGAGTTTCAGAGGTGGAATAACTGTAGTTCACACTTTAAGCTATAGCGCCTAGAACTTGAGAGTTTTGTGAATGGCCCCACAGGCAGCTTTCAGAATTGATGGAGATGGCTTCTATATTTGTGAAGTGGCAGCAAGAATACTAAACACAGCTCTCTAGAAGGTGATTTGGAGGGAGTCAGGATACTTCATTACCTTAAGATAAACCTCCTATGCGCCAGGGAGGTATGTCAGAGACACCAACATATCACTATTCTAGTGATGATCACGAAGTCCACAAGCATCAGGGTGATCAAAGAGTTTGTAAATCCATTATATAAAACAATTCATTTGCCCCTTCCCATTCCTGGGGTCCATGCATTTTTCCCTTAGAGTCCTTCTTGTTTCCTAGTTTCTTTGGTAAAGAGGATTGTAGGCTAGCATTAGGGTAGGGGAGAGGGAGCTGCCAGAATGAGAGGAGAGGAGGAAATGGATGAGCAGAAATACTGAGTTGGGAGAAGAATGGAGGAGAGCAGGATGAGAGATACCATATTAGAGGGTGCCATTATAGGTCCAAGGAGAGATCTGGCACTAGGGAGATTTCCAGAGACCTACAAGGATGACAAGAACTGACAATCTAGGCAATGGTGGAGAGGATAACCTAAACGCCCCTCCCCTATAATGAGAATGATGACTACTTTTTATGCCATCCTAGAGCCCTCATCCAGTGGCTGATGGAAGCAGAGGCAGACATCCGCAGATACACACTGAACTGAACTCTGGAACTTAGTTGCAGAGAGGGAGGAATGAAGATCAATGGGGACGGTACCAGGCTGATGAAACCCATAGAAACAGCTGGCCTATATAAGGGGGAGCACATGGATCCAGATGCTGTCTGGGAGGCCAGTACAGGACTGATCCAGACCCCTGAATGTGGATGTCAATGCCTCTGCACTCTAGGGGGCCCCTGGTAGTGGATTAGTATTTTTCCCTGGTGTAAGAAGGGGCTTTGAGAGCCCATTTCACATGAAGGGATGCACTCTAAGCCTGGACACATGGGGGAGGGCCTAGGCCCAGCCCAGGATG